CCTAAGAGAGATAATAAGAATTATTTTTCAGACCTTATAGATTATTAGCATTCAAGTGTAGATTTTGATCATAAAAACCCACCGAATTCATCATTGGATAATAACCTTGTTGGTCATTAGCTGCAGGAAGAATATTACCAGCAAAAGTATTAACCTGTTCTGGTCTTTGATTCGAAGATATTATGGACCTCAAAGCCCATAAATCATTGGTTAGTTGAGGAGGATTTAAAACATCAAGATTTGGAAGGGAAGAGGAATCTACATCAGTCATAGCTAGCTCTTGGTTCCATGACCATAGCAGTTGAAGAAGATTCTCCATATTCAAGATGTGACTGACTTAGCATATGGTTCCTATGGTGAATAAGCTCCTTAAGATATTGATCAATATACTTACACAAATCATCACGATTCGTACCTGTCAGCTTAAGCATATATCCCTTCCCGCCAAGAAGCTGGAACATGGCCTCCTTCATCGTCCTCTCAGCATTTTCTGCCATCTTTTTATTGTTCTTCTCTTTGGCTTTTACAATGCTTTGTATTAGAAAACCTTCATGGTTCACCATTTTCTTCTCTTGCTCCATCTCTGAAACCATCTCGAACTTGTCCACTACGTCCCTCACTCCTGCATGTGATGGCCACACATCCGGCGGGTTTGAGCTGAAAGGATTGTAGATAACCGCACATGCTTCGATACCGCATAGAATGGAGAGCTCATTGATCTTTTTCACGAGTCCTTTCTTCCTATTGTGGAATGTTGCTTTCCTCAATGGATCATTGGCGATGTAAGCTAGCTTTAGCCTCTTCCTCGCCATATGATGATGATATGACAAATATTTTTTTATCTTTTGTATTTTGTTTTTGTTAGGACGCAGGAGTTTATTTATATAGACTTGTGGATGGTTCAAATGATGTGTTGTCATTTACTTGGAAATTTAATTATAATTATTGATATTAGTTACATGAAAATCCTTAGTATTTATGAAATAATACTTGACTCTGCCACGTGGAATATAGCCAGTATAACGAAGATTTATTGGTGAGTATGTTTGTTCACAATGTAAGATTACATATATCATCACAAAATAACAGAGAATAGGAATATTTTTTTCATCACTAAGGTTGTATTCAGTTGAACAATTCTGATATCACCTTCTTACTGGCTATTGACTATTATTTTAACTTGAAAATACTAAATATATTATGATTTTATTTTGTAAAGATACATTTTAATTAAATTTGGTGAATTCCTATTTTGAATAACAGATTATACATTCACTCAAATCATTTACCTGTTTTGTGCATTAGGATAGGATGACTATTTTAAGGCATTTATATATATCTACCACACACTGCATCCTCTGAATTAATTTATTTTCGGGAGTGACACAAAATTGTATCTACTGTATCCAATTAATTATACAGCCTGTCTTGTGAGTGTTTTAGATAATTTTTTCCAAGAAATTTTTTTCACTTTTGAAAAATTATTTAGTTACTTTCTTCTTATAATATAGTTTTTAGTTAGCACTATAAATATTTAGTTCGTTGTCGCGTTCGACTAATTATAAAAATAAATGAATTTTTCAGTAAAAGTTTTTATCAAGCCCATCCTAAGATAAACTATGGGCCGAATCGAAAGATAAAATTAATAGTCCAAAATGTTTAATATTTAAACACATTAGAAATTAAACCATGATAAAACCAAAAGCTCGCAGAAAAAAAAATTCTTTAAGAAATTTATCAATAAACAAAAAAATTGGGGCTTGAGGCCCATTATTCATGTTGCTCGGCCCGGGGCCAGTCCTGGGAGAGTTAAGGGTTCGGGCATTCATGAAGGATGAAAAATCTGCTTCAGCCATACCCGGTGGAGCCATGACCCCATCCATAGAGGTTGGTGACATGTCTACAATCATAGCTATTGAAGAATATTCACCGACTTGAAAAAAAAATTTCTAGAAGAGAAAAATCTTTAGGGCTACGTTTTTATGATGAATAAGATTCATGAGATATTGATCAATAAACTTACACAAGTCACGACGAATGATATCATCCATACTCAAATCTTCCATGTTCCCACAAAATACCCGAACATGAGCTCCTTCATGAAACTCTCGTTATTTTCCATCATTAACCTGTTATTATGCTTCTCACCTTTTGGTATAGCCTTGATCTCTCCGAGTTTCTTCATAAATCACTTCTTCCTCCGCTTGAATGTTAGTTTCCTTGAAGTGTCACTGGAAATATAAGTTATGTCTACTTGTTTTGTCTTCATGACAACAGTAAATGATTTTTTCTTTATGTGGTTCTTGCATTATCTTTTGTTTATGGTAAAATTATGTTTATATAGTAGTAAGAGGCTCCATACACCAACTCCATCTACCTTTTCCCTCACCTCCATCCTCGACGGGATTTAGGCCCACCACTCCATCCATGGCCAAGATATCAAGGCGAGGCTTCTAGTTCATCCAAGCCATGTACGTTTTGGGCTCCGCCGGATTTAAACCCACCACAATCTCTCTTGTGGTGGTGGTCCTCAACTGCACCAACCTTTCCGATGCTCCCAGAATTAAACGTCCGATCCACCACTGTAAGTCGCTTCATCACCGGTTCTGTTATTGGGCCTGATTGTAGAGGGCTTGGCCCATATAAGGGTGTGTTTGTGGATTTGGAAGCTGGTTGTAGTCTAGGATCTTTAAGAAGTTTAGTTGCTTACATTGTTCTAGTGATATCTTTGTTGTTACTAGCTATGTTTAGGGCCAATTTTTGGCTTCTAGAGTGTAAATCCAGGAATGCTTACTCTTCGCTGACTCGAACTAAAGTCCTAGTGGTTTTAGTCAAAGATAAAAGGAAAATCTTGGTAGAATCCGAATCCTTCCCAATGGTTCGAGCCACTTCATTAGGCTCCAAAGTTTCCAAACACCATGGTTTACTCCGTGGCTCTTTATAGCATTCCGAAACATTTGAATTTTTCTGTTTTAGACCTGTGTTGGGTTCGTATGCTCTTGTAACTGACTCTTCAGTTTAATCTAATGAAGAAGATCTTGTTGACAAAAAAAAAATATAGTAGTAAGAGGCTCCACATGATGTGATGTAACTCACTGTGCTTGCTAATTTACCTAAAAACAATAAGCATTAAATTAGAACAAATATGTAGTTAACAATATTCTTACTCATGCTACAAAATAACTGTTTTGTATTGAGACAACAAGCGTCTTTTATAAGCTCATCTTCACATTATAAGACTATTATATTCACTTTATTTGACGAAACACCACTTTCGCAATATATATGATTGTCATTTTCTTTTAATATGATGCAGAGTTATGTTTTAGGATTTTTATACTTTATTATAAATAGATATCTAATTTAAGGGTTGACAAAAAATAAAAGGTTGAAAAAATAAACAGATATCTAATTTAAGTTTCATTAAATTGTTTTTGCTAATTAATAAGCGATCTAGGCAAAAGTTATCATTTTTCTTTTTTTTGATATATACATTTCAAAAAATCTTCGAAAGATTGGTTTTATTATGTAATTCTAATTTAAAAAAATTATGTAAACTTGTATTATATCCTATTTTCTTTCTTGTTTTTTAAAAAAAAATTATATCCTAATTTTTCGGTATATACTACAAGAATTGGACCACATAGTTACAATTTTTTTTGTAGCTATATTTATGTATTTGTAGTATATACAAAGCTTCCGTTATGCTATTTTCTTCTTCAAGTAGCATATTAAGGACGGTTTATGACGTTTTCTTCTTACGACTCTTTAGTATGTAATTTACGTACTTTGAGTATCAGAAACCCATTTTCTGGATTTTGTGGCGTATTTGGAAGTCAATTTCACAACCTACGTACTCTTTANCAAGCAGATTCCACATCCACTAAACCATACTGAATTTCCAGGGACAAAGGTGAAAGCTTGGTTAGATGCAACCAATAAAGTATCTTCTACTGACCGTGCATACCACTCTCCATCTCCTCAATTTTCAATACTAATATATCATGGACTCGTCCTCAATATGTGCGTTTAAATGCAATGTGGATGCAACCTTTTGCCCTTTTTCTTTAGGTTAAAAATGGCCCAAACAATGCGCGATAGATATAGTATTTCACATGACTCGAGATTTACGTGATTGGGTTCGGCTTCTTCACCTTTAGAAGTAAGGAAGAGCTCTCCACTCATGGCTATTCAAAGTACTAAACTTATGTTATATCATTCTTTGATTTTTTAGAGAGTGACTGTCAAAATCTCATTCATTCGCTTAAAGGTCTTGTAACATACACCAACATTCATAATCTTTTCAAATTCTCTTAATCCTCCAATTTGGTTAACAATTCATTTGTACAAGGATTATGTATCATCATCTTTTGCATATTAATGAAATTTCTTTTGTCAGAAAAATAATGGTATTGTTACGTGAATGTGCACATATATGTGAGTTGAAGACAATACATATTTGCGATGAAACCATCATTTTCTTTTAGTGTGATATAGAAATATATCTTAGGATCTGGAGATATTTTGTTACTTCTTAAACCTTCATAAGATTTCGCGTGTTGGGTTAAATTAAGTCTCAGGTTCAACAAATATATATGAAGTAACCAAATACACAAATATTCATATTCTATAATTCAACAACCACGAGACACATATATATTCTTCCCCTACAGAAATAATTAGTATCAGGGGAAAAAAATATAGTATAGAAGAAAGAAAAAACGTATAACTATATATCTGCAAAGGAGAAGAGACCTAAGGGATTTAGAAGGAGATAGAAAAGAAAAGAGAAATAAATTCATATGTATAAGAGAGATGCTAAGTAAGTAATTAATATTCATAAAAACAATATGTCGTTTTGACATATTTATACACGGACTAAAAATGTTTTAAATATCAATTCTCATATTCAATATATCATAACTATTAGATGGTTATGACTTAAATTTAAAGTTACTAGATGTAAATTAAAAATTTGATTAGAAACACCTTAGAAATATGGAAAATATTTGATGGGATATAGTTGTAGATTAATTGTTGTAGAATTGAGACGGTAACCGTTTTTATATTAGAAATTTAATTCCATTGAATTACAAAGACTACCCATATCATATCTGTGGTTAAAAAAAAATGACATAACAATAATTAAAAACGATAAGTTTCAAAAAAAGAAAAAATTAGAAACGATAGAATCACAAATCCATAACATTAAAAACCATAATCATCCTGACAACAAAATAAAACCATACTCATAAAAGAAACACAACCTAAAGAAAAGAAATTGCAATG